TGCTGTGAACAGCATGAGGCTTCAACAATTCCACTAAGGCAAGATGACTGTTTGTCAGCCTGGCTGTAAGGCTGTGTGCTCTCATGGAAACACTAAATACAGTAGCATGGAATTAAAATCACATGGGAAGACAGCCACTGACAAAAAACTTGAAGCAAACAAAATAATTGTAAGCATTCTCCTCTTAGCTGCAAACTTCCAGCTCTGCATTCATCACACCTCTTCTATTCTGGTTTCCAAATGTAATTACAAACCAAGAGTTTAAAATTTGCCCACAACACAAAACAGAGTAAGTAAAAAAGAGTCCAAATCAGCAGCCTGGCACTCAAAACATTTGACTACGAGAGACCAGAGCTTTGACTGCAAGCCTTGTTTCAAGGACTAAAGCATTTTGTATCAGACTTGTTGCACACAACACAGCAGCAACACTATTAGTGTTGGAACCAAATTACAGGCTCCTCATTCCCAGATGAATACTCACAAAAGAGTTTGATCTCTGTTTTTTTTCTATATATGTCAAATGATTTCAGAGCCACAGCTCCAGTTGGAAAAACAGAGCGCGCTTCCAGGCTGATCTTGCTTAGTTGCTAAGTGCCAGGGGATTAAGGCATTTCCATGGAAGACTGGGGTCTGAGTCTTTCCAGGGTCTGAGACTAAACTCCAGGACTCGTCTCTCCAAGGGGAATGAAAAGTGCACAGCAACCTTATCTTCCTTTTCCTAGATGCATAATATTGATCTATTATGTAAAGTGCCTCCTCCGAATGAGCTTTATGCTGAGCTCTGTGCTCTCCATGCAGGATAGGTATGTCCTGAGCCAATGAACTGACCTCAAATTCTTCAGGGATTTCTGTTCATCCCCCAAATCCTTGATATGCATAAAGTTCAGCCCCTCAATTCTGGCTAGATTTAGTAACACTAGTTCACATTTGTATGGAAAATGCTTGAGGTTTTTTGTTTGGTTTTGGATTTTATCTTGAACATCTAAATACCTATTGAAACACTCTTCAGCATTCATTTCTTTAGATTCTTTTAGATTTTTCTTTAGAAATCATAACTATTTTATGAAGCTGGAATAGCTATGTATCTCTTTGTTGTTTAATTTCATAGTAGGAGCTGTTTTAACACAAAATTAGAAAAAATTCCTTCCTTCATGTCCAATAGCGCTTAGACTTTGGGTTGAATGGCAAATTAAATTTCTAAGGGTAGGGTTTATATCTACTGTCAGAAATCAATACTGTCAGTATTCAGATGCACCAGGTCCCCACAGTGATTGATCTCAACAGTTTAGATACTTCTCCTAGGATGGGATGGTTCCTGGGAGTACATGTCTCTCTTCATTAACTATAGAAGGATCCTGGCATAGCCTGCTTGAATGAGATGTCTAAATGTATAGATGGCTAATATCAGGTGAGGTTACTGCCACTCCAAAAATGGATGATTTGCATAGGTCTTTCCCCTGAATGCTTTTCTTCCAGTGGTTCATAGTTAGTAACTATCACCTCTGACTCAAACAAATCCATGTTTTTATTTTTTAGTGCTTAAACTGTAGTGACACGTGTAACTTTGAATTCAAGATTTCCATGCACAACTTACTTTGCTGTGTATTTCATTAACTTAATCATTTTCTTCTTTTCTATCTGTCTCCAACTTCAAGGACCTGTCAGGAAAAGTCCCTTCCAAATTAAGAAATGTCCCAATAGCAGCACCAATTTTAAAATCACCTTTCACAATATATAAATACACCTGTGCGTGTTCTACATACTATGATTTTTTTTCAGATTTTGCTTTGTCAGCACAGCACAACTGTGTAATCCCCAATTAAAGTATTCAGTTGCCAGGAATTTCTTTAATATACTCTGGTTCACTCGAAAGTTGAGCACACCTCTTTTACCTTTTGTTTATTGTCATGATTGTATAGCAACCCAGCTATTTTAGCTAGACCCTAAGGGCCTTCTCTAGAAATAAAAGAAGAAGAAAAGACTTTGATGATAGGTACTGAAGGTGAATGTTTCCTAATTAACTTGCATTGAATGCCAGAGGAGATAAGGTAATGTTGCTAGTGCTGACTTGACTTCCATAGGAAAGATCTCATGTAGTATTATTAAACTTTGACCTCTGCTATTTGTATCTTTTGACCTTAAGAAGTCAATGCATAATGTTAATCCAGTCACAGTATTTGGAGAAATCACAACTTAATGACATGCTGTGACATTTGTCCAAAGAAACTTTGTTAAGTAGAAAATGAATTTAACAATGAGAAAAATACATCAGTAGATATGAAGTAAAGAGACAAAAGTGGACTACAGAATTTTGTATGATAACATTACTATAGCTCATAGGTTATTATATATGTGCTAAAGCTTTTATCCACCTCTATCTTAGGCATTTTCTGAATTAAATTTTATTGTTAAAAGCTAAAGAAAAAGCGTTTTATTTCACATAGCATACTGTTTTAACTTATTAAAATTAATTTTGTTCACTGCAAACAATAATAACCAATGCTGCTTAAAATCCCCTGCTTATTTACGCAGAATTTCAATTGTCACTGCCAGGGTGTTAAATTGCTCACACGTTACATAAATATGTGTGTATATTCACAATCTGAAATAAGCATATATATATATTTTTATGTGTGTGTGAATGCATAAATAAATATGTAATGTATAACTTATAATTTATCTACTCTGTAGTCTGTACTCTGCTTTTTATAGAACAGGCAGCACAACAGATCTCAGACGAAACAGAATGCATATAGACTTTTCTGTTACCATGCATTATGTTTTTGTGCAAACTAAAAGCATGTGGTAGAAAACTTTACTGGTAAGTGAATTGTCAGTAAGTTTTTGAACACTCTGGAATTTTTTGTGGGAGTACTTTCACTGACACAGAAAGCAAAAAGGGACTTCTGTCACACTATTTCAAATACGACATATGCAACATTTTGGGTGCAAAAAGACAAGTGAGTGTTTGTAAAAAATGATCCAAACCTATCCTTCAAAGCCCCCTTATCTTTCAATATCCAAAATAGTTTACTCTTACCAACAAATGTAGATGTTTCAGTTGTTACATAATGAAAATGTTCTACTCTAATGTCCCAAACAATTCCCCAGCTTTTTTAATAAATCCCATAAGTTTATTATTATTTGTTAAATAATTCCTGTTTAAAAGTTTGTAGCATTGAGGTAAGTTGTGCTCATAAATACAGGAAAAATTAGATTTAAAACTGAACGGTGATGTACTAACCAAATTACTTCTCATGTTTTCCAATGGCAGTGTTAAAATAAAGGAGATTTCTTGATAACTTCCTACTACCTTGTGGGAGTTTCATAAACTGTTAAGTTCTATACTATGTTGTGATTGACTAACTTTCATCATTTCTTATTCAAAGTCACTCTAGGTTACTGCTAAAATGATTGTATAAGCCTATGAATGACAATATCTTATTTTAAATGCTGAAAACAGTATATAAAAGTGTTCCCTCCCAGACATTGAGGTTCCCACTGAAATTAGATGCTCTAATTTCAACTCATCTCTGTTTTAAATAATCTCTTGGAGAAACATTCTCCCCATCCCAAACTTTTTGTGTACATTTTAAGCAGTCAGAACACCTTCAAAAGCTGGGTAATCTTCATGGATATATTTTTTTATAGCTACTTTCCCAGTATTCTATGCTCTGCTGTCTACAAACTGTAAAGTTCATGAGTTCATCAAAGTTATTAAAAAAACCAAATTGTTGTAAAATAAACATATTTCTATTTCAGCTTGCATTCAATATATGATCTGTTACTTTACAAGAAGTGTTATTTCAAACTGTTGTATTCATTAATGCTATATGATTACCCAAATGCTCCACAGAGAAAACAAAGTCACCTCTGTCACAGGATTACATGTCAGAAATTTCAGGCAGACTGAGTATTTATGATGCAATTAGATGGGTGTCAACTTCCTGCCTTTAAGAGCTGCTTTTTATATCCTTAACTAGGGAGAAATCACTGCGCTGATAATAACTGTCTATCTTGGCACCAGACTTTCAAAGAGTACTGTACTATATAATTCCTCACATTGGTCTTTAGGAAATATGACAGTGTCACAATATGGCCTCATAGAGAGGACTAAACCAGCTTATCGGTATTCCTTTCACAGAACTTACAGTTGAGATGTCAGCCTCCAAACTCCATGCATAAATGAGGGCAATTGTACCAGGAAACCTTTTTGTTACCACTCCTAGAAAGAGAGTTGCTACACCAATGCCAGGGACACTGAAGGAGAGGCTTGAGGCCACAGTAACATTTACATGTGTTTTCGAAAGCAGTTGGTAATTCAGTGTGCTGATTCTACTCTTCCTTAGTCACAGACCTCTCTCTAATCACCACCAGAAATGTCCCTTTCAATGCAATATATCAAAGCTATTGACCACTTGAATAAAGGACATCATGCTGTCAGCACTTCCTTACTGAGGCAATTTCTAAAGCAACATTACTGTCTTTTGATTATTTGCTTTATTAAAAAGACAAAAGAAGCATACATGGATGCTTCTAGGTAGAAATTTAAATGCAGCATCAAATCAGAAGGAATATAGCTCTTAGCGGCTGCTAGATGGCTTCTGGTCCATCAGGGCCTCTAATATGGCCCTTTAGAGCATAATGTAATGGGCCTGAAGGCTTTATGGACACAACCTCAGAATCACACATACAAGGGTGCCCATGCAGGGGGACATTTCAGATTACACCTGTTACTGTGACAGAATGAAAAGGTGCATCTCCTCACTCCCAACCACTGCTCACGTGATTTTCTCAAACCATAAAATATCAATATTAAATACTTAAAAAAATCCACATAGCTTTCTAATAGTATTTTCAAATCTCAAGATGGAAGCAACATGTGTTTAACCACCAAGAAGAAGTGCAAAAATCCAATTTCTACATGCTGATTTGAGTGTGATGCTATTCGTAGTTTCTGTCTTGGACTGGGAATATCACTTTACTACATGATGTCTTACCATCATCCTTGTCAGGTACAATGGTAATTCGAGTGCTTGGGAATTCTGCACCAATTCTTCCACCCATTGGCATGCTCAGCAAAACATCAAAGGTCTCAGCCTCTTCATACAAGGAATCATCTATGATGACGATCCGACACATTTTTTCTCGTTCGTCTTTGTCAAAACGTAGAATGCTGTTGTGATCCTCAGGCCTGGATATGTAGTCAGAGTAAGAAAGCACAGAGGTTGGGGCAGTGCCAGATGCTGTTCCTGTGGCATAAAAGGAAAACAGTCACTACACATACCATGGTTATAATGATCCCCTCACAGAGGCTGAATTTTATTTTCATTATCTTTTAATTTCTGTTTACTTTTAGGTGATAAGATGGGCTGAAACATCTGACCAGGCTACATTTCTGAGGTCTGTGGACAAAATACTTCCATATACAATGCAGTGCAAGCACATGGCTCCTCAAATTCATTTGCAGTTTTTCAGTCAAAAGGAATATTGTAGTCTATCACAAGAGACACAGGCTGTCTGTGGAGAGACCTGTGAGGATTACCAATTAACTCCCTTAGTATATTTTACCCATTGAAGATATCGGTGGACCAGAAATTAACTATAACAGATAGAATTTGATGAAAACAAATTATTTTGATTCCGGATCACCTCACCAAAAATGTTGCTTCATCTCTCCAGATGAAAAATAATAATAAAAGCACAGGTGCAGAGACCCCATGCTCTGTGTGGATATAATTAATAGGAGATTGAAAGATAGAGGAAGGAGAAGCACGGCAATTAAGCAATATTATTTTATAAGAATTTTTTCAAGATACTAACAAGTAAAGGATATACTGGGCAATCACTGCAGTGCTTTTAGTTCTCATCACTTTCAGATATATGGGGCTGTATATAAAAATCTTGCAAAAAGTTAAAGAACACAGATCCTCTTCACCTCCTAACAAATGGCAGAAATTTGGAACATGATAATTTTCTAGCTGTATTCAATAATACTCTAAGATAGACTGCAAAGATGAATACATTTCCCGTTGAGACTGAAGATATTTAGATGAAAAAGTAATTAACAGTTATAAACAATTTTATTATGCAATAGATAGAACAATTCTTCTTGCTTTTCTGTCTCTTTTCCATTTTTACCTTTTTTTTTCTATAGTAGATTCTGTTACCTTGTTGTGTGTAGCAGATAACCATCAGTTCCTGGCTCACATCTCCACTTCTTCTGACTGGAATAAATAATTCACCAACATCTTCTTCAATAGTATAGGTGGACTGAGGAATAAAGACAGTTGATTCTGCAAAGAACAGACACATTTGTTTATGTAGATTTATGGCCTCATACAGTCACCCGTAAAATAGCTAAGAGCATTTTAGCATATTCTAAAGTGCAACAAATAACTCGTATTTATCAGCAGCGGCGCTAAATTTAAAAAAAAAACTCGGAGGGTGAGAGAAGTAGAGTTTCTTAGTCTTTCAGAAATGGAAAAGAAAATCAGATGATTAGGTCTGAATTCACAAGTCCTTACTAAGTATTCTCTAACGTGACTAATTATCTACGGTTAATGGTGCAAGACAGTGTTTGGAGAATTTGTCCACAAGGTCTATATTTTTATTATGTCCATGGTATTTCATTATTAACTGTTAATCACAGAAGTATCAACAGCATAGGTCACACACAGGCAGTGGTTCTGCAAGGCCATTCTTTAACTTACTGCATCAAGATAACCGTGAAAATCATTTGGCGTTGCGGATGCAAGATTGAGCTCTTGCTGTCTTACTCTGACTTGGAGATTTGATTTGAGTTGGCTACATGTCTACACTCCTGTTTTATTCAAAGGAGACGTAGCCAATACAGTCAGTGAAGTCTGGAGAGCAATCTCACCCTAAAATGTATCGAACCAAAGAATGTCAGATTTGTTTTTCAGGGAAAAAAAAACCACTAAAATGCATTTTAAACTCCCCCATTATTTTATACTCACATAAACAGATTGCTGAGTTTTATGCTGTTACTGGGATTCAGGATCAATTTTTTCTTGTTCTCTCAAAAACTCAAGAACAAAAGGTGGTTCTGCATATAATTATAAAGCACCTTTATAGTTTCATTACTGTGACTGCAACCCAAACAGAATATAATTGCGTATAATATCAAATCAAGTGGTATCAGCTGACTGCACAAAGCAAATCTTTTCATTATTTCAGAGTACTTTGGCAAACAATGTTCTGAAAATTGTCATGTGACTTCATTGAAAACATGTTCCAGGTTTTATTTCTCCAACTGGAAAATACTACTTGCATGACTTAAGGTCAAAAGCCTACCTTAAAAATGCTGTAATTCAGGTTTGATAAGATCTAGACACTTTCACTATTCCAGCAAGTCAGAAATTCAGTGTGAAAAACACAAATCCCTACCTTTTTGTTTTAAAGTAAAACAAAAGGTAACACTAAAAAACCCCAATTTTTTCCTTTTATTTCTCCCTTTAGAATTAAGTTGACAAACTGAAAAACTCTGTCTTTCAAAAAAATGCAGGAATCTGATTTATTCTGTTTTCTGTCTGTCTCATAATTATCCAACTAGGAGTAAAATGACACTACAAAAGTTTAACAGACCTTATGTACAACATAAAAGCTCAGAGGAGAATGATCTACACCATCTCAGCTAGTATAAGAAAACACATTCTTATGCAATCTCTTTTTGGAATAAAACATTAACTAATGTCCCATATACCAAGGGCCTGGTATGGCTTTCCAAACAAGCTTACTATTTTGGTGCTAAGACTACACCATTCAAATAAATGAATTTTAAAATCTTTTTCACTGGAAGCAGAATAAAACTTTTGATGGTTCCTATTCAGTTAGCATCTGAACTTGTTATATCCTGCGCTTTAAAAGGTTATTAAGAAACCCAGTCCTTCCCCTCAAAGTTCTCTTTATATTTTTCCTGTAGATATTCCTTGATTTGCAGCTGTGCATTTGATTTTCTCAATATACATTAATTACATTAATGTTAATATACATTAACTTCATTTTATGTATAATTACTACAAATTCTCTGGGACTGTAAAAATTTTATCTTAATATAAGAAATAGAAAAAACTATCAGATGATTATCTTGAGTTGTTTCTATAATCTCACTGATTATAGAATAGATAGAGAGATTTAACACATTTTCAAGTAATTTCTGTGTCTCATAGATACTGCTTTTCAAGTTAAGCACTATTCTTCTCAGTGACTAAATATGGATGTCAGATAACCTCTGGTTTAACTTGCATCTGTAACTAGGAACTAAGAAACCTCTGACAGTTTTCCTTCCCAGTCCTCTTCAAATGTTAATTAGGGAAGACTATATAAAACAAGCTGTTACAGTCCAATATTTGAAAGATTCCTTAAGGACAGTTTTGTGTGACCATGGCCCATGGGTTCAAGTGTCTGGATGCAGCTGAAAAGCACATTCTACTTTTTTTTTTTTTTTAATCAGCTTCTTTCTTCATTTACATTAAACCATGATTTTATTTGTTCTTCACACAGCTTGTGCTGTACTTGGTCTAGTGAACTTTACCCTTACTGAGCTTCCTAACTTAATATTAAGGCCTAACTGATGCAACTAGTCTGCTCCAAGACCCAACCAGCCTGGACTTCCCTGTACCATCCTCTCCCACATAAATTATCATGGCAGAGTAAATCAAGTCAGCCTCCAGCCACCTGGGCAGATACACTCTGTTTGCAAACACATTGAACCAAAAACCTATTATACCTAAAATGAAAACAAAACTAAACAAAACAAAAAAACCTAGAAATAATATATGATAGGAAAATGCAGGTATTTCATCAAAGCATGCTAGCTTAGTTACATATTCATGAATCACTTAAAGTGATAGAGGAAGAATGGCTACCCAATGCCCAAGTCTGTCTTCAGAAATATTCTGAGGAAAGGTAAGCTTCACTATCCACTGTTACTCATAGCATTTGCCCTCCAGTTTATCTTTTGGTATATGCACATACTGGCAGTACAGTCTGGAAAAGTTCTTACCATCTCCTGGGTCAATAATTTCCACAATGGATACATCAGGAAATTCCAGAACTGCCATGACAGGCTCAGAAAGAACAATTTGAAAGGACTCAGACTGTTCGTGTTCACCATCACTCAAAATCCGTACTCTCCATGTAGCTAAGGTTTGGCCAGGATTAAACTGCACCTGCTTCTGGGCTTTTCCTCTGAAGTCTTTATCTTTCTTGGCAGTACCGTCTTTGGTGCTAATACCTGCCAAAATCAGAAATTCAGGTCATTGAAAACATCATTTGTCATTTTTCTCTCATTATGTCATCTTTAAAAAAAGAAGTTTTAGAAAAATATATTTTTCACAACCTGAGAGTGTTCAAGCCAACTCTGTTACTCTTAATCAATTTTATATTGGTATCACACATAGAGGTGGAAGCGTCAATTAACACTATGAAAGGCAGTTTAGACAGAATTAGTCAAAGCAAAACTAACTACTAGAAAAACTACATTCTTTGAGGTTACAGTCAAGTTTCCATTTCTCCGTAATTCAACTATGGATGCCCAAAAGGGCCAACAGATTTTTTTCCCCCCTTTATCATTCTAGGTTCTCTTCTGTTCCGGAACATCTAAATAACATGCTGCCTGAAACCCTCAAAAATATTTATTTCTCTTAGAAAAAATAAAAACACACCTGGAAAGTTCAGCCTTCAAGGGGAAAGCTAAGGAAAACACAAAGACACAAAGGGGTAAAACGTAAGGAATAAGGATGAAAGAAGTAAAATCTGAACCACTGTGGTCATTCCCACTACAATAAGCATTTTTTTAAATGATTATCCTCTTATTTCAGTGTCTGCAGAATGACAATCATTAAACTCAAGTAAGTTGAAACTGCAAAGCCACAGGATAAAATCCAGTACAGCTCATCCCACCGAGACAGGACAGACCTTACAGCCTTGGACCCAGGCTGCTCTAAAACGGATTTTCATTGGCATTTCTCTCCCAGTTTAAGGCTGTCTGACAGGCCCTCATGGAAATTAGACAGTCCTTCAGAACTATCTCCAACTCATGCATTCGGCCTCTGTTGAACCCCACAGCACCACTCAAATCTTAAAGGTCTTGCTCAGGTTTTCAGAAAAAACTTAAAATTTCTCCTTCTCTGCCTGTTTCTTCCAACTGTATTGTTTAATGTATTAAAACATATCACCTTTCCCTGCAAACCTTGCCTTTCTTGCTTCCTGCTTGTGCCTCCTCCTAAGTCATAGCCAATATTTTACATAACCTATAACCCTTCAGCCCCTTTGGCACTGCACATGGACCAGAAAGGCCAGTAAACACCTTAACCAGTATCTTTTATGTTCTTTCTGACTCTGTAATTCCATTTTGCAGGATTAAGGTAGTCAGAGGCAAGTTATTCAAACTGCTTTTGCTGGATTTTGAGTCAGCTCAATTCAGAAACTGAACTTGAATCCATAGGTAGAAAATTTTGTAAACACTCTATTTGAAGGATCAGAAGTCAAATCAGTGTCTGTTAATCAGTACCAGTAATTAATTTAAGCCACATGTTCTTAACGTTGTATTTCATTCATCTCTTTTATTCTTTTACTTTCTTTAAAAGAAATATATTATCAAAGTTATTTCACTGTTCAAGACAGAGCCTTTTAAGTTAGATACAGCTAGTTAGTGCCTATATCCCTTAAATCTCATACCAAAATAGGTGTCCTAACTACATCTTATTACCTGAAACTCAGATTCTTATTCAGAAAGACACTTAAACAGCAAGTTGATTTCTAAGCATGAGCTTGTGCTCCATGCCAGGTAAATGCTTACATATCTCTGCAAAACCAGCTTTAAATTGAGTGCCTTTTCTAAGCAGTGTAAGCTCATCGTAGTTTTCAACATGGAACTGTACAAGAATAATGCTCCCTGATCCAAATGCATCACTAGGAAGTGGATGGGAACAGATCCAGAAGCTAGAGACAGGTGTGAGGTTGCAGAATGTGATAACACAATCTTTTTTCACCTTTTCACTCTCCAGACACTGCAAACAGCTTTCAACACCTCCTGTATCAGCCTTAGTTGACTGCCAACATTGACTGAAGAAAATGAGCCTAATGCTCATAGCTGCTAATCAGACCAGCTCACAACAGTCTTCCTGGAAAATGATCTATGTTTATTGTTGTCTTTTCAATTGCTACAACTGTATTTTCTCATTACAGGAAAAATAAAATCTGGACAGGAACTGTATTCTGTGAAACAAATACAACTGTGGTATCAATTGGGTCTTGGGTTGTTAAGTCAAAAATTAATTGCAGAAGACCAGAAGAAAAAAAGTGAAAATTTCATCCTATAACTAAAGAGAACATATACTGAGCACAACAAAAGATACTTGCTTTAATAAATAATCATACTCCTTTGAATCTAGGTTGCTTAGTATGAAACGCCAGCTGTATTGATACATTTTATCAACTAGCTGGCCAGTGATTTATAGAAGCAGTTGATAAGGTTAAAATTGAACTTACTTATAAAAGAGGTTTCTCCCAGGTAACCTCTCCGTTTAAGAACCACATCAAGATATTTGGAGTCTTCATTAACTAAATAATACTCCTTTTCTAAGGAGATCCATGCCCAGTTTAGGCGAAAATGTTGATTCTTCAGCTTATTGCCTCCTGCAAAACAAAACGATAAAGATGTATTTATTCATTTTTCTTTTTTGCTAAATACTTCTTTGTCTTTTGAGGTTAAAGTAACCTGTATCCTGGGTAAGATGTGTATCTTAGCTGGACATTACATTCCAAAGGTTTTAAAGATTTAAAACTAAGAAATAACAAGTAAAGAACTCATCCATGATACATTTGGTACATATAGGAATAAATTTTATCTTAGATGCACATGAACTAGTCACATTCATTCCAGAGTATGCTAATTTTCTTCTTTTTCAAGGGTAAAAAAACATGAATTAATATTTGGGATGCCTTTTTTAGAAATTACAAAAATTGTGGATGATCCAAGTTTCTGCAGAACCGTATTGGTATTTCCAAATAACACAAATAACATTGTAGGACATCCCATAGAACTTCCTCGATATGATCAGACTGCCAGAAGTACTAGAAGACCCTTAGTATCGTGAGAGACTGGAGATGATACCTACCATCTTTTAAACTGCATTTATCCATGCAGCCTGCTTCTAAAACTCAATATTTTGTTCACTAAATCTAACATTTTGTGCTCTTATTGGTTTAGAATTTATGCATCAGCACTGTATGATTTTAGGAACAGCTTTTACATCTTCCTAGGAAATGGTTTCAACAAGATTAAGTAATCCCGATACACGCACAGTTTATAGCTATGCTGATGCCCTCCTAACCTTACATGCTTGTAACTATTGGGTTAAGTATGATTGCCTGTGTCACCTAAGAAGATTTAGAGAGATACAAATGCTTACTGGAATTCTCTCAAACTATTTTGCAATGACCTATCTTCACGATATGATGAATGCCCCCAACTGAGTAAGCTGCTGAGATGTGTTTTGAAAGTCAATTTTCAATAGACCAAAAGATGTCCTCACAGTTCTTTCTACACAGGCACAACTGTAGCAACACGCTCCTGGTGAAGAAAGCAGACTCCAGGGATCCTTTCCAAGGTCTCTACTGTAGCAGTAGCACAACAGCTTCCCTGCAGTCCCACTGAACATGGATGGTTTCTGTGCACTCTAACACTGGGAATTTAAAGCACAGGACAGCAAGCAGTACACCTAGCTAGGGAAACGGAACGGTTAACACAGATCAAGTCAGCATCTCTGGCTGGCCGCTGTTGATGGTATTCTCCCTAAGTTGAAGACTTTATTTCCTCTTACAATAATTGGAAGAACCTTCACAGTCCTCCTCAAACAAAAATGCCCATATATTTATCAACAGAAGTAGGCTCCCTTTTTGAAGCCAAAGCAATGCAGGCATACAGGAAGCATTCCTCAAAGTTTTGGAGAGGATGATATGGAAGTCATTTAACTCCAACTGCAAAACACTAAGCACCAGCCTAAAATCTGAGCACGTCTCAGCCTAATCTCTCGCTCCCAGCAGAAATTAAGCTGTTGTGTCTACAATGAATGGGATTTGTACAACTGCAAAAAACCAGGAAATGTTTATTGAAATGGCAGGCTTCACGGAGTTTTTCTTAGCCTAAAAAAGCAACCCAGAAACAAGAAATGCAAACAGATGGCACTCTAAGGTCCAGTTAAAAATGCTACTTTTTTTTTCAGTTGGAAAGGTAATAGCTGAAAAGAGCTAGCACCCATTTCACTGACTATAAACCAAGTATTTGTACAACAGACTGCACATCTCAAATTAGATTAACACATTTCTGATAAAATATAGCATAGCTTTACTTTCTCATGTACAGTTTACCTCCACCTGTTCACTGATTTTCCACAATAAAAAGGCATTCAAGTTCTGTATATAATGCTATTGGACAAGTTTGTTGTTACTCAGGAGAATCCTCTAATTTCCATAGCAAGAATAAAATAACCTGTTAAGCTCACTGAAGGCAGATGCTCACTCAGCAACTGTCTTCTGGGAATGTTAGCTTGTGCAAGAGGCTGTAGCTGATTTCCTTCCCACAAGGTGCTGCTACAGAACAAGGTTTGCTCAGGTAACGACTGTCTGAAATGTGCAAGGAATTCCCTTTAGAAATTAAGACTTCTGTACACAAGCCAGTATAAAGTAAATAAAGTAATTCCTCAGAGCAGCAGAGAAACATATTTATGTATTTCAGTTCATTCATGGCTTAACTACTGGAAGAAGAGCCAAATGGAGGTTGGTTTTCCACTTCCAGTTTCTTCCATTCTAGTCCTTGAAAAATTAGGCAGCCCTTCCATACGCTCCCACTCTGCTTCAAAGATAAGCCTCTATATTTCTTTATTGACCTGTCTACTAGAAAAAAACAAGCATACTTGTGTAATCTCACATAAAGGCAATGGTATTGTGTAAACAAAAGGAGGGAAATGGTTACTGGAGTATCACGCTGCACTGCTTGCCCTGCTTCTTTCTGCTCTTTTGATTTCTATTGTTACTGACAAAAGGGAAGGCTACAAACACACATGCCAAAAACTGTAATGAGCACCACAAGAAAACCAGTAGTGTTAACCACTATAGCGTTAGCTATACCAGCACTTACATTAGGTTAGCCATATGTTATGTCTTCCCATTAGTTTCCTGGGACAAATGCAACAGAATATGTCTTGTTCCTTAACCTAGTGAGAAAAGCTATTTGTGTGCCACCCTTGAACATGCTGCCCAATTTAAAGATAATTTGACAGAGGGATAAAAGTTTCTAAGATAGAAAAGGAATGAAAATTTACTGCCAATTAGAGGAGAGAGAATCTATTAATATCACTACTGAGAAAAAATACTGCTGCATGAGCTTACTAGAAATGAGAATGTCAGACACTGGAAAACCCCAGCTAAAGGAAAAGCTTCTGTATCTTTTTAGACAGAGAGATTCCAGCCAGGGGATGGAAAGCAATAGGAAATCTGGCATCATTTGTTCTACTGTCCAAAGAACTAATGGTTTAAATGTGTTATGGACACAGGCACACAATCTTACAGGCACACAGCTTACTTACGCACAGGTCTCTTATGTTTCATCTCTAGTGTCTTAAATAGTTCAACCTTAAATGTAATCTATATTTGCACATAATTACTGAACATATCAAAATTACTATACAAGAGTAAAAATCCTAGCTGTTAAAAAGGAACAGTAGCCAACTACCAAACCAGTTCATTCCTGTCATTGATGCTATGGAAAATGTTGAAGTATACTGAGTTAGAAACCTAATGAGAGTATGAAATTTAGGAAGCAAAGAGCACAAGAAAGGCAATATGAAAGATTTAATATTGCCTTATTGCCACCTAATTCTTGCTTTCAGCAGTTTTTTTCTGTTTTTTCTTAGAGTTAAAAAAAAAAAGCAACCCCAAAAAAGTATTTTTTCTAGGGGGCTTCCAGCAAGTCTCCATTTCCACAGGCCTACTTCTGCCCCTGAAATATATATTGATCACGTTTTAGAATGTGCAGTACTAAAACCATCAGAGTTAAATTTTAAGAAGAGAATATAGGTATTTTAGATCTTGCTTTCTTCACTTTGTGCTTTTTGTGTTCAGAAGAAATTTTCTAAATTATATAAGCCATTTCATGGTCCAATGTCCCCAAAGAATAAAACCAATGTTGATGTTGTTGTTATTACTATTGTTATTATTATTATTACAGACTTCTGACACAATAGAGCAGGAAGCATACGATACATCTTATCTAATTTCAGGTATTTATTTTTGGGCTAGAAATCCTAAACTGTCTTTATAGCCAAACCCGGGAAAGAGGCATTTAGTAAGGCTATGGCTTATTTTAGGCATCTATTTTTGAATGAGATTAGCTGTGCCTCAAAATATACATAAGTATGTGCATTTTTCCTCAGCAGCTGTTAAAGATGCCTGTCATGACCAGTTACATTGTAGACCTTTTTATTATAGTCATCTAATGCTGAGTAAGTTGAATTCCACCATGAACTGGGTGAAACCAGGCCTTTTCTACAACATAGTAGAGCCAAGCACCATGCAAACATAAGGTCTGTAAAGAATATTAAGAGTATAGCTTTCAGAAATTATAAAATATTAGAAATAAAATTGCACATGCCATCTTAATTTGGTTCCCTATTAAATTAATTATCTGCCCTACAATAATATTTCTATATGCAAATGAATTTTGCATTGCTCACTAGCACTTCCCTTGGGCATAGTCAAACATTTAGCTGCTAGGCAAATAATTAAGGTACTATATACCTCAATGAAAGTTTTGCTTTTGTTCCTCTCCCAGACAAGTGCTTGTAATACAAATACATCGGAAGTTTGGAGAGGGAAGCCATTACTAGAGTGCTTTTAAAACTAAAAAAAAGGAAGGAGGGCTGTGTTACAACAAGGTAAATCCAAAGTAACTTTGCTTATGTATCAATGAGATGTGGCTGGCAAGACATCGCTTGTGTGATGCATGAAAACCTGTTTCTTGAATTTTGCCAGAGATCAGAGTGCAGCAGCGCTAAATCAGTAGATGCTAGACAGTACGTGGTGCAGTGAGACATTCACAAGAAATGAGATGGCAAGAGCTGTGAGACAGGCAAAAACTTTGTAAGGAGCTCAAGCTAAGGATCTGGAGTAAGGTGGGTCACAAAGTAACTTCATGACTGTGACTTCATGACTGACTGAGGATGCTGAGGACAATACCCTCTGAAAAGGTTTCCTTATATATGACAATTCAAAAGATGGATGCCACCTAGAATCAGTCTTTATAGGAGTCCTGTCAGCAAATTGGTCACCTGTCAGAAAACAGTGATATATTATTTTTGCATAGGTCATCAAACCAGAAATTCCTAGAAAGACCAAGTCATTGGAAACTCCAGTTTCAGTACGTCGACATGAATAAAAGAGGAGGGGGAAGAGGAGTTGGTCAGTAAACTGGTTAAAGGGAAAAATATTAAAATGAATATTACCATTTAAGCATTTATCTTTCCAACAATGCTGCTCAGATATCTTTAAAAAGGTATAAAACCTCCCTGAGAAATACAGATTAGATTGTCAGAACTTTCTATCATGATACAAAGAGCTCAGAGAAGGAAAGAATCAGT